CTCCTGAAAATGGCTTTTTGCATTTGTTCAATCATCAGTCAACCAGTCTGTGCTAAAACTGCTACTTGTGACAAGTAATTACTTCCATTATCCAAATCATGTCAGAACAGTGGCCTTTCTTAAGTGGAAATCTTGCTGGATAAACTTTAACCAAACCATTCATAAATTAAATGCATTCACTAAACCCTTTTTCTTGCTCTTTTCCAGGAGCACCTTGACTCACTACACCATGGATGAGATGATTTGTTATGCTAAAAGAGACATTGAGTCATTCATTCGAACAGGTCCCCTTAACGACGGAAGACCTGGACGAACTGTTTTGCTCTTCAATGGCCGAGTGTACTGCAGTACTCCTTACAAACATGCAGAGCAGATAGCTTTCGATTCCATTGGTTATGACATTTATGAAATTAAAAACATAGATATGTGCATCAACTACTCCCCTTGCCATAACTGTGCTGCCAGGATATTGCATGTTGTACAAAATCACTGTGACGTGAAAATTCAAATTAAATTTGCTAAAGTGTTTCAAATAAAAGAGCCAGAAAACAAACAAGGGCTGAAAGAGTTAAAGATGCACGGTGTGACATTGAAAGCAATGGAAGGCCAGGACTGGAAATTCATTGTTGGAAAGATTCTTGAGCATCACTGGAGGCTTTACTGGAAGACCTTACTGCAAAGAACTCTAGATGAACATTGGCAATTGGGACAGGAAAGTGTACAACAAGAGATTCTCATGTATTACAAAAAGATTTACAGGACAGCTAAAATGATGTGCATTTTCATAAAACACTGGGAGACAGAATTGGAAACTGAATTCTCTCGACTTTCCCTGAGCAACAGGGAGGGAAGAAGGGAAAGTGATTTACAGCTAATTATCAGAGAAAATTGGAGCAAGGGAAGGTGGGTTGTACTGGCGGAGATTCTTAAGTATCAAGGGATGGATAACTGGGAAACTGTATTGATGGAGATTTTCAAACAAGAGGATAATTACGGCTGGAGGACAGCATTAAAACGCATTGTTAGCAACCAGCACATATCCGACACTCATCACCAGTACCTTGAACTTCACAACTGTGAAGACGTCGAATATGTTGAATATCAACTACTGCAAGCCTGGGAAAACTCAACTTGGATTCTCTATCATCACTGGCGGGATGGTGCGAAGGACAGGTTGACCAGGATACTCCAAAATAACGGCAAAACAAACTTGGTGGAACTGGTGCAGGGTATATCAGATGACAACAGACAGGGATACGCTTGGTTGAAACTTGTGCTAAAAGCACTATGCATCGAAAACAGGGTGGAGTGGTCAGGACAGCGCATTATTGCAGATTATCATGCCGCACAAAAGCTAAAGCAGTGTTACCTATAAAGAGTTACAACTGGTATCCATATGCTGTAGCATTCTATTGCACATGCAACGTACAAGGATGACCTCTTATACCACTTTTGTAGTTGAAATAACACTTTTCATTATATACTGGTCTGAAAGATGGTGACAACTGACCATGCACACCTATTCTAATGTTCACTATTCATGCAGCTATTAGGAGGAGAGGCATAAGGAAATCCAGATGGATGACATGATCAAGCGTATTAAAAAAGACATCAAAACATTCATAACCTCAGGTCCCACGGGTGATAACTGGCCAAGAGGAGCTGTTGTGTATGTCAATGATAAAGTGCACCATTCTGATGAACAAAGACATGCAGAGATGAAGGCTTTACCATCCATTTTTGAATTGCTAGAAGCAAAAAGAGAGATAGTCATGCACATCAATTATTCACCTTGCGGCCGTTGCGCTGGGATTTTATCAAAGATCCTGGAAGATAAACCTGATGCTCCAATTACCATAAAATTTTCTTGTGCGTATTACCCTAAAAACCAAGCAAACAGAGACGGGTTGCAGAAATTAATAAGTAAACCGAACATCACCATGGAAACAATACAAGGGGATGGTTGGATGACACTGATACAAAAGGTTCTGGAGAATCATGGGAGGAAGTACTGGGAGACTTGATCGAATGGCATCCTGGAAAAGCATTGGGAATCTGGGCTGGAAAAGGTTCTGCATGAGATTTCCAGGTGTCACAAGGTGTACTGGGAGGCCAAATCACTGCAGACCGTCATACATAGCTGGGAGGAGGGATTGGATGCCTCAAAGCTTTTCCTGGATGACAATGAGGAAATATGCAAAGCAGGCTTGGAAAAGATTCTCCAGGAAAACTGGAGAGCGGGAAAAGAATGTGTGCTAAGAAAGGTTCTAGAACATCATGGAGAGGATAACTGGAAAACAGTATTAACATTGATTGCTATGCATCAAGACAAAGATGGCTGGAAGACTGTATTAAAACAGCTTTTCAAAACAGATGAGAATGATGATTGGAAAACTGAATTCAAACAATGTATCTCGGGTACTGGACTTCAAGTTTCACAGGATGAACTAGCACAAGTTGTCCAAGTTCATGAGTTGCCTGCTTGGCAAAAGTCAACAGACATTTACCATTTGAAAGATTTAACAGCAAAGATGCCACCAAATTACAGACAGGGATATGTTTGGTTGAATCTGGTGCTGAGCGCATTAGATATGACAGTACAAAAGGCATGGATAGGACAACGAATTGTGGCAGATGATTCAGCAACAAAAGCACTCAAAGACATTCTGTCCATGAATGAAACCAAAATCCAATTGCACACCAGAGCAAAAAAAAAAAATTAAAGCAAGACTTTCCTGAACACATGAAGCAAATTTCTGTTTGATATTTATCAACGATGACACTCGCTCCAATAGTCCCTGCTTATGAAAATATCTGTAAGTTATATCTGATGCCTGAAGACAAAACAGAAGGGTTCTCAAAAATTATAAGTAGATCTATTATTTTTGGTCTAATACTGAACGCTTCCACATATGGGTGTTGGAAGGGGGATTCTTCCCCACCCCACACCCTAAAAAAAAAAACAGAAAAGGGGGAAGTAAAACAAATAATAGCGATGAAAAGTCCTGAAAACCACCAGTTTTCTGGGGGACCCTCAAAATTGAACCCCTCCCATCGTCAATACTGTTCAATTTTACATTGGAGCTGATGGGTACTTTGGCTGGACCTCAAACAAATGTGGATACTGGAAGTATTTCTGCCACTGTCCACAATATAATGTCTAATATGTGATCAATATTGAACTGTGTCATCGCATTGTTTCCACCAGTTTATAATCTGATCACTGTTGTAGAG